TAAAATACAGCAAATCCATCTTCTCTACGAACTGGGCCCGAGTTACTTGTTTTAAAATACAGCAAATCCATCTTCTCTACGAACTGGGCCCGAGTTACTTGTTTTAAAATACAGCAAATCCATCTTCTCTACGAACTGGGCCCGAGTTACTTGTTTTAAAATACAGCAAATCCATCTTCTCTACGAACTGGGCCCGAGTTACTTGTTTTAAAATACAGCAAATCCATCTTCTCTACGAACTGGGCCCGAGTTACTTGTTTTAAAATACAGCAAATCCATCTTCTCTACGAACTGGGCCCGAGTTACTTGTTTTAAAATACAGCAAATCCATCTTCTCTACGAACTGGGCCCGAGTTACTTGTTTTAAAATACAGCAAATCCATCTTCTCTACGAACTGGGCCCGAGTTACTTGTTTTAAAATACAGCAAATCCATCTTCTCTACGAACTGGGCCCGAGTTACTTGTTTTAAAATACAGCAAATCCATCTTCTCTACGAACTGTGCCCGAGTTACTTGTTTTAAAATACAGCAAATCCATCTTCTCTACGAACTGGGCCCGAGTAACTTGTTTTAAAATACAGCAAATCCATCTCCTCTACGAACTGGGCCCGAGTTACTTGTTTTAAAATACAGCAAATCCATCTCCTCTACGAACTGGGCCCGAGTTACTTGTTTTAAAATACAGCAAATCCATCTTCTCTACGAACTGGGCCCGAGTTACTTGTTTTAAAATACAGCAAATCCATCTTCTCTACGAACTGGGCCCGAGTTACTTGTTTTAAAATACAGCAAATCCATCTTCTCTACGAACTGGGCCCGAGTTACTTGTTTTAAGATACAGCAAATCCATCTTCTCTACGAACTGGGCCCGAGTTACTTGTTTTAAAATACAGCAAATCCATCTTCTCTACGAACTGGGCCCGAGTTACTTGTTTTAAAATACAGCAAATCCATCTTCTCTACGAACTGGGCCCGAGTTACTTGTTTTAAAATACAGCAAATCCATCTCCTCTACGAACTGGGCCCGAGTTACTTGTTTTAAAATACAGCAAATCCATCTCCTCTACGAACTGGGCCCGAGTTACTTGTTTTAAAATACAGCAAATCCATCTTCTCTACGAACTGGGCCCGAGTTACTTGTTTTAAAATACAGCAAATCCATCTTCTCTACGAACTGGGCCCGAGTTACTTGTTTTAAAATACAGCAAATCCATCTTCTCTACGAACTGGGCCCGAGTTACTTGTTTTAAAATACAGCAAATCCATCTTCTCTACGAACTGGGCCCGAGTTACTTGTTTTAAAATACAGCAAATCCATCTTCTCTACGAACTGGGCCCGAGTTACTTGTTTTAAAATACAGCAAATCCATCTTCTCTACGAACTGGGCCCGAGTTACTTGTTTTAAAATACAGCAAATCCATCTTCTCTACGAACTGGGCCCGTGTTACTTGTTTTAAAATACAGCAAATCCATCTTCTCTACGAACTGGGCCCGAGTTACTTGTTTTAAAATACAGCAAATCCATCTTCTCTACGAACTGGGCCCGTGTTACTTGTTTTAAAATACAGCAAATCCATCTTCTCTACGAACTGGGCCCGAGTTACTTGTTTTAAAATACAGCAAATCCATCTCCTCTACGAACTGGGCCCGAGTTACTTGTTTTAAAATACAGCAAATCCATCTTCTCTACGAACTGGGCCCGAGTTACTTGTTTTAAAATACAGCAAATCCATCTTCTCTACGAACTGGGCCCGAGTTACTTGTTTTAAAATACAGCAAATCCATCTTCTCTACGAACTGGGCCCGAGTTACTTGTTTTAAAATACAGCAAATCCATCTTCTCTACGAACTGGGCCCGAGTTACTTGTTTTAAAATACAGCAAATCCATCTTCTCTACGAACTGGGCCCGAGTTACTTGTTTTAAAATACAGCAAATCCATCTTCTCTACGAACTGGGCCCGAGTTACTTGTTTTAAAATACAGCAAATCCATCTTCTCTACGAACTGGGCCCGAGTTACTTGTTTTAAAATACAGCAAATCCATCTTCTCTACGAACTGGGCCCGAGTTACTTGTTTTAAAATACAGCAAATCCATCTCCTCTACGAACTGGGCCCGAGTTACTTGTTTTAAAATACAGCAAATCCATCTCCTCTACGAACTGGGCCCGAGTTACTTGTTTTAAAATACAGCAAATCCATCTTCTCTACGAACTGGGCCCGAGTTACTTGTTTTAAAATACAGCAAATCCATCTTCTCTACGAACTGGGCCCGAGTTACTTGTTTTAAAATACAGCAAATCCATCTTCTCTACGAACTGGGCCAGAGTTACTTGTTTTAAAATACAGCAAATCCATCTTCTCTACGAACTGGGCCCGAGTTACTTGTTTTAAAATACAGCAAATCCATCTTCTCTACGAACTGGGCCCGAGTTACTTGTTTTAAAATACAGCAAATCCATCTTCTCTACGAACTGGGCCCGAGTTACTTGTTTTAAAATACAGCAAATCCATCTTCTCTACGAACTGGGCCCGAGTTACTTGTTTTAAAATACGACAAAGTTAACTGCTGAATGTTCCCGGTAAAAAATTAATTATAGTTTATATTAAAATATTGTCTATTGTCTATGTTTTACTATAATGCTGGGAGCCTTGTTGTAAATAGTAGGGTACATACCATTCCTTGAAAGTCGTTATTTCGGAGTGAGCAATCATTTTGTTGACTAGCGAATCTAAATTGAAATAGTCGAATATCACTCAATTTCAGTTGCAGGTCGACATCCTTAAAATTAGAGAGCAAATAATTTTATTTTGTACTCTACTTCAGTCAATATAAATAGAAATTACAGCAATTTGAAGTAACAGCATATCAAGCTATATCATACATAATTATGAAAGCCTCGCAGAGATCTCGATTAAATCTGTAAACGTACATTTAACGGTAAGATATATAGATAGCGCGCAATATATGCGCACGCATAAAACCAATATGGCTGCCACACAAAGCTAAGCTACAAACTGGAACAAGAAATGAAAATTGTGAATTCAACCAGCTTGGATACTATTATCCAACGCGACATTGGTTTGGGCGCATTATCGACACGTTTTAAATGCGCGGAAGATTTTTGTGCGCGGCACTAGCATTTTAAATTTTCAAAATTCAAATCATAGCCAGAGTTATGGTTATTTTTCAAGACAAATTTTGAGGCAAATTTTACGTGTAAATTATTTATTTTTCATTCATGATCACTCATAATTTGAACAATTTACCTTGGATTGAATTGAACTCTTCAGTATTCGATGATTAAAACAATTGTTTTAAGAACAGAGTAGTTTTAAAGCTAAACATTCGCAATTTGTCTTAACAGGAGTCTTGGGAGAATTATAAAAATGAAATTTAAACGTTTTAGCGGCGCATGAAGCCCGCGGCGTTCGCTGGGGTGAAAGTAAGTATTGATGATTCTGGATGGATGGTCACTTCACGGTCTGAATGGTTAGGCAGGTGACTATCAGAGCCATCATACTTGTTGATGAGACATGAATTGATAACCGGGGCCGTCAGGTGGGGCTGATCCGGGTAGCTCTTGTTAAAAAGTTCAGTTTGTACTTTGTTCATTTCATCAAATAATGGTTTGAGTTCCTCAGGAATTGGTGGCACATTTTCTGAAGATTTAGAACCCATGTAGTGGTAGGGGGTGCCAAATGAAGTGACGGAGTGACCGTTCTCTTGTTTGAAAGAACATGACTGAAGAAAGGCAATAATTTTCTCAGATTCAGTAGTCAGAATGAAATCTGGCCTGGTTTCAGTTACTGGCACCTGATCATGTGGTAAGTGAGGGGTAGGTTGTTCAGGTTGTAGGGGAGAGGAGAGGAGAGGAGCCTGCACTGGAGGAGAGGGGTACTGGGCTACAGGTGGTGCTTTAGATTGAGGAGATGCTTTAGAATCCTGTATTTGACTGCTTAAGTTGTTAAGTTGGGTGGAATGCTCACTCAGTTCTTGTGAGACTCTCTCAAGTAGCTCATGAGTGGCAGTGCAAGCAGGTGTTTCAGATGCTGCAGTTTGATGCGACTGAAGCTGTGCAAGTTGCTGGTTCAGCTGATCGATGCTGTTGGCTAGAGGGTCTGTGGCAGAGCTGGATGATGAGGACAGTGCTGCTTCTAACTTTTTCATTTGAGCCTGATGGGACTTCAACCCGTCTTCTTTAATCAGGAGATGTTGCAGGTGGAGATCAAAAGTCTGAAGACGTTCCATGTTGCTGTTGAGACTGGCTATTTGCTCGCAGAGTTTCTCACTGTCTACCGAGGCAAGCGATGCTGAGATTAGGCCTATGTTATTAAGATTCTCTGCAGCAGCTGAGGCTTCAAATTCACTGTTAGCCTGTCGTAAGACTGCTGTGTTTCTGCAGGAGAAGCATGTATCTGATCTCTTGTTCCTGGCAGTGCTTACTGGGGCAACGTAGCAAAAGGGACATAGGTAGTCAACCATAGCGTTGATGGCCTGCCTTGAGATCCCCCGCATACTAAGACAATCAACATGCCACTGCTGCTTACAACGCGAACAGTCGATCAGATAGACTTTGCCGCCAGACGAGCTGTTACACGGGCACTTATCAAGGTCCCAGTGTTTCGTCTTGGCAGCACTTTCAGCTACTCTGCTCACCTTAATTAAGGGCGAGCTAGTATCGCTTTCTGACTTAGCTTTATTCCTCTTGTTGGGGTGAGGACTGAGTGTATCCATGGAACCTCCTCTCCCACTCTGGCTTCTTGGTATACTACTATTACCAGACATTCACAGAAGGAAAAAAGGAGTTTGTATCTTCTAAAAAAACTTAATCACCAACCGGAAATGTTCAGACTTTTGGGTCTGACTCCCTTTATAGATTTGTGTAGAGTGGAAGGAGAAGCAGGACTTCTCGGGTCTGTGCCGTGTCACTTAACGTCAGTTATCGTTTAACAGTTTCAGTTATCGTTTGACATTATCGTTTAACATTACACATACCTCAAATTATTTGTTATATAGCAGCGCTGAAAGTATTAAAACTGACCGCGCCTTATACTGCTTACTGGGCGGCGCTCAGCCTGTCATTAATATGATTATAAACATACATATAATAGCCTGTGATCCCCAGGTAAGCCGTGCCCTGCATTTTTACGAGGCAAGTAGTACGAAGTCGCGATTGCCAGGCTAGTCCATTTAATTAGTTAAATTAAAAATTTGTAGCGAAATGCGCTACTGTGCCGCACCGAGCTGCCATGAATTGACATCGTCAATTAAATTAACAATGTTTTTGTTTTAATTTTATCTATCAAATTTGTTATAAACATTCCAATCATTATGTGGCAAAGTGAAAGAAGCGTTTTATAAATTTTAGTGTTTTATTAAATAGTATAGCGCGATGCACTACTGGGCCGCACCGTGCATCATGAAGTAATTCTTCTCGAAACCACTCCATAGATCGGCGAGATGCACATATCATGGGCTGTCATGTGCCTCGCCGAGCTGGGAAGGATTGGCATCATAAATCAATTCGTAAACATATGTTATGTTACCTGGGGACCTCAGGCTATTATGTTCGTAAACATTCGCGGCGGAATGACAGGCTGAGTGCGGCCCAGTAAGTGTAATGCAGATGTGATGTCATAAATTTCAATTTACTTTACGTTTACCTGGGGATCCCCAGGCTATTATGTTCATAAACATAGTCTGGCGTATTTGAACCCTCTAAAACGCGCAAATAGGCGCGTTGCCGCGTTTTGTCATACCTTGTATGACCCGCCGCGCACGAGTGCGCGGCTCCCCCTGTATCGTCGAAACTCTACTATAGTGAAACTCTACTATAGTGAAACTCTACTATAGTGAAGCGACCGTGGGGCCGGGGTCACCATACCACGTGATACAAGCCGCGTTTATGAGATTTTACAATCAAATGATCAGATTTTACAATTTAACTCAGCGCGCGGATTTTGTAGCGCATACGTCACTTTTTTCTTATTGGTAGTTGGTGTGCACGTAATCTTTTGCGCGGCTGTTATTTGTTCTGAACGATCACGTGAATGCGAGTCACGTGCGCTCTAACATCCAATGAGAATTCGTTGACATACGTTGCATGCCACTTTTCGCGCGCGAAGCGCGCGCCGCCGAAGGCGGAAAAAGGGGCATACCATGAAGGGAATCGGCCTTTTTCGAGGGACGCATATTTTGCGTCCCTATTATCCTATTTGACCAAATATGGAAGTAATTGACTGAGATGGCGCGCGCGCGACACCAAAACAGTTAAATGCATTGTTTTTTAACCAAGTTGCAATATTTGTGAGTTTACTTGGTATCTTTGAAGTATTTTTATCATCTAAACGACTTTAATAAGTCATTAGAACCTTCATGCAAACAAAAATTGAAATGTTTCAACATTTCTGTAAACTGAAAACTTGTAATTTTGTTCCAAACTGCTTAATTTTTGTAACACTAAGCCGCGCACTTTAGATGCAATAATTAGATTTACTCCGCAGACGTTGCCTGTTTCCTTGGTGACTACTAACTCATCTTTTGAGAATTCTGGTTAGATTGTTGTTACGAAGCCTCTAATTTTTTATTTTCCGTCGCCTGGTTTGCTTTTGCCTGTTGCATCGTTTTTGTTCTTTCTCTTAACATGTATCAAAGAATTCGCACTTTTTCAGGGCGACGGAAGTCGTAATTCACTTATATTAGCCCGAATAAAGATTCGGCGGAATGACAGGCTGAGCGCCGCCCCGTAACTTAACGTATATTTATATGTTTTTTAATCAAAATTTAGATTTATAATAATTTTAGGTTAATGATTAATTGCTCTACAAGAAAACAACAATTTCAAGAAAACAACATTTTTATTTAGTATCAATTAAAGCAGAAAAAATATATTTTATATATATATATATATATAATTAGCAGAACTTTAGATCAGATATCTCAGGGGACTTTACCTGGGGACCTCAGGCTATCATGTTCATAAACATAATAGAGATTAGGTGGAATGACAGGCTGAGTGCGGCCCAGTAAAGGGGACGTGGAGTAGTAAGTATAGCAAAAGATTGAGAAGGTATATAACTTTTACAAAGATACGTCGAGAAGAATCCAGGGTGATACATGACAGGATCGGAGAGTTCACATAGCCATGTGCCTATGCGTACTGCGTGACGCGCTTGTTTCCGGCGGTCGCGCGCTACTGCAAGCGAGAGGGCTCTGGTTAGAGCAAATCGGAGAGTGCAGACCAAAAGTTTACGCACCCACCTTCGCCTCCTGAGTTCTTGGTCTGATAGAAATTTATGCAAACTTGGTCGTTTATACTCCAAGTCCCTTTGTTAAAAGAAGTAATATTAACTATGTTTAGAGTTAGCTTCGTTCAATAATAACAATATCAATATAATTAATATCAATATCAGATAAATCTACCGAATAAATTATTAGATATCAATTAATTCGTTCCGATAAAAATTGTTATAAATTTAGATATTATTTAGTATCTAAAAACATTACAACAAATGGTTAAAAGCGCCCAAAATCGATTTGAGAGATTTTCTGTCTATAGCACAATCATGATAGTAATAGTAAGTGTGTGCCGCTGCAATTAGATTTGATTACTGCAATTTAAAATTGTTTGGAGTTCAAGTATCTTTTAAGTCAGCTTCCTGTGTATTGTATTAATAGTACTTTGGTTCTCAAATTTATCAAGTTACACTCGACTGCAGTGGCCTGTTGGCGCCCATCCGCCGAAAAGGGCCCCCCTGTTGGCGCCCCCTCACCTTTAAAACGTTCAAAAGGAGGCTCATAAATATTATTATATTATGATTGTAAAATAAAGGATAAAATTTTAAATTTGTTTCACTAAAAAATTTGTTTCACTTTAAATATCTAACACCAATTGCACTATTTGAACTTTTCTGTTTGTCTAAAAGACCCGGCAAAGAAACTCTTCTTATAACAACCATGCCCTCAAACAGTTTCGTTTACAAATCTAGTTGCCTTTGGAATTCATTCCGTCAGATGTTGGCACTGAACGACCTTGAAATCACTCATGGTGTTTTAGTAAAACAAATTTTAGTAAAACAAATTTAAATTTTGGTATTTATTAATAACAATCAAAACATATCATATCATAAAAATAAAGCCGCGCGTTGGTTGACTGCCTCAGTATGGTGAATAATTTAAGCTTGAAGGTGCCCTGCGCATTTACAGAACATTATGCGGCGATCACATGATCACGAGGACCTGTGAGCGCCAAATTTAATTTAAACTTTCTAGAAATTGTACATCACTACGAGTTACTCATGCTTTTGAATTATAGGAGTGCGGATTGTCAGGTATTTCATTCATTCATACTTAATCGGTTTAAAGCTGTATATTTAGAGCTCACTATTGTTTGAACTATGAAAGCAGAACGTAAATAATGGACAATATACCGACGACAATACCAAGGACCCAAGTGCCGCATTGACTTTTCCGGATCCGTTTTTACCGAAGGCTTATCCACCAGTTACTCATGCTGCTTGTATAGTCTGATAATATTTTGTTTTATCTCTAGCAAGCATTCTGTAAGTTGGAGTGTCGTATTTATTGTAGAAGAGCCAGCCAACCTCCGCATTACAATCTTTTGTATGCCAGGTTCGTTTATAAAATCTAATCATATAATAAGATTGATCCAATAGTCTAAGATGAATGGTATATCTTAGCTCATCGTTATTAAAATCCTAATGGATGAATTAATCAAGTAATGTTCCCTTCCAACACAACTAAACAACAAACAAATGCTTGCTCACCAGTGGTGACGCAATCGTAGGGGCATGCAGTTGGTTCAGATAACTCTCACCCCGACGACAGCGTCGAGAAATTATCAAATTATGCATTTGGGCCATACTGGACACATTTTATATTTAATATTTTGTGGTTTGTAGAAATTAGTGTCATCTAAAGTATAGCTTAACTGGCGAGCAAGCATCGTCCCACTCGGCGGGGACGAAAATACCGAGTCCAATCACAGAAAGTTAACCAAAAGATAAAAACAAGAGCTCGGATATCAACAAAAATCACACGCTCCAGACGACGGGGGAAGAGAGGATAGGAAGTAAGCTGCTGGGCTCAACAAATTTTGATAATTGTAAACAAATTTGTTCTTGTGCCCTATAATAATTTGGTATTGAGGTATGACCCTGTACTGTGCGTGATAGTGAAAATGAAAGTGAATGTGAATCTGTAATGTGAACGAAATGAGTTATGGCCAGACGATTCTTCAATTTCAAAATAATAAAGTCAAAGGACTCTGTTTTAAAATACAAGCTCATTCTTATCAAAGTTTAATTCTGTCCATTCTAATTCTTCGTACCTGGACTGTATCTTGAGTAGCTCACTTTTCAGTGTTACTTTAACTAAGTTCGTTGACTTAGTAAAGCTTATCAAACTGTCAATTTTTCGACAGTCGTTCCACATTTTTGTTGATTGATAAATGAAAGAGGAGGATGGGTTCAGGGTGATGAACTGGTCTGAACGTCTTTGTGATGGTGATCTGTGGAGTAAAGATAGGAGTGAGATTGGAGATTCTAATCTGACAATTTTGAACAGTTCTAATAGACATGTGTATTTGTACAGGTTGTGGACGGTAAGAAGGCCGTTCTTGTTGCACTAAAAACTCTTGCTAGCTATCTAACAAACCGTAGCCAAGTAACTTCTTTTCAAACTGAAAAATCGGACAAGTGTTCAGTTGAGTACGGTGTACCCCAGGGGTCAGTGTTAGGACCTCTACTATTTCTGATTTATATAAATGATATTGTGAGCTCCTCAAGTTTGGCTGAATTCGTCCTGTTTGCTGATGATACAAATATTTTTGTGATAGGTCGTTCAGCACAGGAAGCTTTTGAAAAAGCTAATCATGTAATGAAACAGGTCAGTAACTATATGGAGTCTAACAAGTTACATATAAATGCAGGGAAAAGTTGTTTTATGCATTTTCAGCCAGGTTTGTCAAGAGCAACACAGACCTGTGCTAGAACACG